CCCCCCCGTTTTAAAGAGCAGAAAACGCAGGCACAGAGAGCTTGTAGAACTTTCCCAGGGCCACAAAGCTGGTCAAGGACAAAGCCAGTTTTTGGGACAGAGGGGCCTGGCCTAGCTTCCGTCACAAGAAATGTATTATTGCTTCCTTCTAATATTCTGTAATTATGTGCTCATCTTAGTTGTTCATTGTATGTGTCTCAGAAATATAAGCATCTTGAGGGCAGATGATGTCAGCCTTGTTTACGCTGTATCCACAATAGCTAGAAAAGTGCCTCAACATTTAGCAAATATTCGCTGAAGGAAGGAATAAAACTGGTTTCTCTTTTCAGGGCTGCTTATCAAAAAGTTGTAAATACTCATAATTTTCCAGTCTTTGCAATAAACTCAGATAGGCCCAAGTATAGAACAAAGCCAGGACTGAGGGCAGCAGGCTAGGCTGACTGGTCCAGGCTCCCGCACAGTACCTTGATGCTAATTCAGGTCCAGATCCAGAGGTATAATGGGCTGTCAATGTTGGCAGCTGTTTGTGAGCATTGAAATCATGCAAGTCTGGCTGGGTCCACTCAACCTATGTCATGCACTCAGTCATGTTTGGGGTACAAAGATGGGAGAAAGGCGCCAGGTCCAGTGAAACACGGTGCTGTAGGGACAGAGGCCTAAGCAAATGTTTTGGCTGAGGTTGGGGAGCTGGTGGCTAAGCTTACATGGGTGGCTGAACTCTGAAGCTGGGCCTTGAATGAAGGGGATTTTGCAAAGTAGGCAAGTGTCCGAGGAGACAGACACTTCTTTGGGAGGGCCAATGTTTATATCATCATCATCTTGTATTAAGCTATCCTATCAGGTTGGCAATACCAGCCCTAGGTGGTATCTTCAAATACTGTGCCAAACCAGAGTCCCTTTAAGACAGTTACCCAGATGATTTAGTTAACAGAATTTGTCTGAAATGTCCTAATCATTGAGGCTACAAGAACAAAACATGTAGAAAGACAGGGGTGATTGATTTGAGTTCCTAATCATGTCTATGTAGACAACCCAGAAGAACTTAACTGAGACAAAGAAAATGTAGCAGTGGATTCCTGGGGAAGAGTTCTTCCACTGCCATATCCTTCTTGATTCAGAAAGAAAAAACCAGCAAGGAAAAAAGCACTTCTGCCAGGCAGGAGCCACACAAATGTCATTGTTTATCCAGAAGGATCTCTGGAGCAGCTCATCAGTTTAACTTGCGCGTTTACGTCCTAAACTATAAGATAGTCCAAAACCCGACCCTTGAGGTGGTTTCTAATTTTTTAAAGCTGGTTCCACTCTAAGTAGACTTTCAGAAAGTTAAATGTTCCTGAACTATTAAAATAGAACCAGTGATTCATTGAAATGCACAGAAACCATTTTCCTGGCATGAGTGTGGGTTACAGGGTGCTGCATTACCTCATCTGAGGGTGGAGAGGATGCCAGGTCATCTGGGATGATGGGAGAACTCACGGGAAGGGAGGGAGCTGAAGGACATTTGCCTTTCTCGATTTTCTCTTTAACATCTCCAAGGAGCATCTCCAACTTGAAGATTTCACCTTCCACTTTTCTAAGTAAACATAAACAAACAGGCTTCTTATTGGGCATGCAGTCAACATTCTGGTCAGTAGCCAGAGTTGCCGAGTGTAGCGTGGTCTGCATCAATACGTGGCTGTCTGCTGGCAGGAAGGGTGATGCTCACCAGTGGTGACTGGCCTGTCCTGGTTAGAGTCTCACTCCAACACCTGGCTCTAATCCTCATTTTGTTATTCTTTAGCTGTGCACCCTTGGGTAAGTTACTTCATCTTTCTGTGCCTCCGATGTCTAAACTGTAACATGGGAAAATAGTACTTTGCTTATCGGTATCTCATTTTTTAAAAAGATTTATTTATTTATGCATACAAGAACTGGGGCACAGGCCAGATGTGTGAGGGTGAGAGGATTTGCCAGAGACAAAGGGGGGAGATCAAGTTTGTTGAGTTATTCAGGTATTCCATGTCCTTCCTCCTCTTCAACTACTATAAATCATTTCTACAGAATCAGAGCTCTCTGAACTGTAAGGCCTTCAAAATAATGTGATCCAGGGTCTTCCCTGGTGGCACAAGGGGTTAAGTCACAGCACTATGAAGCTATCTCCAGCCACTGCTGCTCGAGTTCAATCCCTGGCCAGCAAGCTGACCCACAAGGCACGGCAGACCACGTCTGTCTCTTCTGCTGCTCTCTCAGGAGTATATTTCAGTAGATCCACTGAACTTGAGCAGCAGTGGCTGCAGATAGCTTCAGAGCGCTGTGACTTAACCCCTTGTGCCAGAAGGGAAGCCCCTGGATCGCATTATTTTGAAGTCCTTACAGTTCAGAGAGCTCTGATTCTGTGGAAATGATTTATAGTAGTTGAAGAGGAGGAAGGACATGAAATACCTGAATAACTTAACAAACTTGATCTCTAGGTATATGAACATATACGCACATGTAGATAAAAGTTCCACACAAACATCAAAGCCTATTTTCTTTAAATTCACTACATTTACCTTGTATTAATCCACAAAAACTTGAAAATTCAACAAATTCTAAAACATTAAAAAGTGTACTCCTGCTTTCCCATTAAGATCAGGTAAAAAACTTGGATTTCCTTGTTCACCACTCTTTTTCAAGTTTACACTGAAAGTCCTAGCTAATACAGTAAGACACGGATACAAGAAAGGAAAAGAAATGTATGCAGACTGAAAAGAAAGAAAAACTGTTGTCTGTTTGCAAATAGAACAATCTGTAGAAAATCTGAAAGAATCGACGAAAAAAAAAAGGGCCCTTCCTGCTGGCACAACAGGTTAAAGCGCCACTCTATGAAACTCTCCGCAGCCACTGCAGCACAAGTTAAATCCCCGGCCAGGATGCTGACCCACATGGCACAGCAGATCCCCTCCTGTCACTCACTGACCCCCTCAGCAGTGTGTGTCAGCACATCTGTCTGTTCTGTTCCCCACTGTGTCTCTAGTGAACTCTCTCACCTCCTGCACCTCTGACCTACACCTTAATTCTTGTATGCATAAATAAATATATTTTAAAAATTGACCAAAAAAAAAAAAAGAAACCCAAATCCTGAAAAAAAGAAACAATTATAGCAAGACTGTAGGCTACAAGGTTATAAAGACACAAGGTTACAGGATTTGTTTGTGAAAGTATTGTTTTGCTATGGGGAACATTACCCGGTACAATGAACATGTGGAATTTGAAATTAAAAACACCATCCCATTTACATTAGTATCCGAATATGAAATACTTAGGTACAAATCTATGTATAAGATCTGAATGAGGAAAACTACTACATGGATAAATGCAGCAGAAAGAACACGACGTGGAAACATTCCACATTCATGGTTAGGAACAGGAATATCAAGATGGCAGTTCTTCCCAATTCCATCTATTGGTAGATAGTAATCCCCCATCAAAATCCCAGCAAACTATTTTGTGAACATTGACAAATAGTGAAGTTTACATGGAAAGACAAAACACTGAGGGTGGTCGAGCAGCCCTGGAGGGCGGCAGTATCCAGCATGATGGTGATCAAGGAAATGCGGTCTCGGTAGAGGCATAGATAAGTAGGAAGGAATCAATCAAGTACCCAAAACAAGGCAAGCAAAGGATAACTTTTAAACCCCCAAATAAGAAAATATTCATAAAAATAATCAAATGAACCTTAAAAGGATTTCATCAGTAAAATACTTCCCTTGAAAAGACCTGTAAAGTACAGATTTGTAAAGTCCACTACACATGTATGCCTTACATATTTGTTAACTAATGGGTAATCTAAGATGTAATCCTTTCTTATAGTGTGCTTAGTTCTCAACTGGAGTTGAACTTCCTTTCATAGCCTTCTGTAGGTGGTAGTTTGGCAAGATTTTCAGATCAATTTTTGCTTACTCTTAGGGGAGCATTAACTGGATTTTTGGGAGAGACCGAGTCTTTCCCTAGCCCTAGTGTTGAAAGTTTCTCCTGTATATGATAACGATTGCAGTTGAAACTCTGATTTGCCCTGGTGCCCAGCACATGGTGGGCATAAGTAGGCTATAAATAAGGCCTTGAATAATCTGGCTCTTAACATGTACAGAGGCTGTCTTAAAAGAAGTCAAAACAAGTGGGCGTCTTGGAAAAGAAATATCCTTACTCATTTTCACAAGCAGTGAAAGCAAGCTAAAAAAATTTTTTTCTCAGAAAAATATAAGACTTTGAAAAAAATCAGTATTCAAAGCCTATCCTTGCTGTCTAGTTGCTCAGCATTGAAATAACAGAATACAGTGATTTTATTCATTTTGAAAAAAGAAAAATTATACGTTGGGACTCGTCCTTCAATGTGCTGGTGCCAGAATATAAACCGTTCAAATATTTTGGCATCAAAAATGATTCCATGTTAAAATACTATGAATAGAAAGTTAGAAAAATATAAAGTCAAGTCTACTAAATGGATCCTTTTAATTCATACCAGGAAATTATATAGAAACAGTCCTGGCCTTGAGGCCTGGAATGCTTCATCACACAATTCAGAGAGAGGAATATGGTGCCATGAACATGGCCAGTTGAGTGTGTGTGTCCAAGTCTCGTGTGATGTAGCTTGGGAATCATTTGACTTTAAACTTCCCATTGTGTCAGGAATTGTGAGTCTCTCACCTCTCCATTGACCTGTGAACCATGATCTTATCCTGCCTGCTGCCCCTTAAAACTTATCTGGGGATGGGAGAGGCAGGGAGAAGAGGGACCAGAGAAGAATCTGGCAGGAGTAGGGAGAGGACAGGAGGAGAGTGAAGAGGAGTAGGTCTCTTTGGGGTTAGCCTTTCTAGGGTTTTCTTGTGCTCTTCTGAGTCTCAGAACCAGTTATAATGACACCTAACAAAATACAGGATGATGACAAGTAGGTGACCTCCAGGCTTCCATCAGGATTGGTGCAGCACAGGTCTCTGCTTGTTTCAGGGGATAACTTGTTTCTCATGGGGCAGTTTTTGCTGACCTTCATCCTGTGGCTCTCCAGCACCAAACCAGCAGCTACATTAGAACCCCACTCAACCCCCACCCCTGACCCCTGCACTTGACACAGTTTAAGGCTGACCTTTCTGGATCAAAGTCACTGAGAGCTGGGGAGTCATGCTTGTAGACTTGCTGTTGTGAAGTCAGGTGCATCTCCTTTGTGGCCAGAAACTCCTGTTCCAGAAATTCAAGGTGTCCCTGAAGTTTCTCCAGGACCTGCAGCACAGAAATTGCTGGAATCATTCACACTGCGGGTGCAGTCATTTTTAGGAATACAATTAGGTGCCCCCTACAGTAAGGTCAGGATGAAGCTGCCACCCTGATCTCACCACTGTTTCATTCTAGTCAGACATGCACAATACAGACAGTGCTAGACATCCTTCACGACACCCTCGGAGCACAAGCTGGGAGGCGCGCTTACTTCTGACCTCTCACCCAGATCCCGCTCAGAGGACGCTGAACTTCCTGGATGGAAGCAATAATAATCCCATGTGTTTGCAGAATACTTTTTAGCTTCTAGAGCACTTGCCATTCAATACTTTATTTAATATAGTAGGTTTGGAAAGAAGATTTATTATGCTAGTTTTATGGAGCTTGGGAAGTATGTCTGTTGGCACACAGACAGTAGAAAGGAACTGAAGTGGAAGGATCTGGAGGGTGAGATGGAGAAGGACAGAAGTTAAGCCTAAAGCTGTCAGTGGCTCTTCCCCACAGGCACTCCATACAGAGGAGTGTTTAAATTGGGCAGGTGGGGCTTATCTTGAAGTATACAGACTTTGACCCTGTAGCTGGAATTGCTAAATATTCCCTGAGCTCTGCCTATGTCATTCCCTGGACCAGAAGTAGGGGATGCAAAAGTTCTATCCTGGCTGTAGGTATTTTTATTGCGGTTGGGAAAAGAGACCATGCCTTGGCTCAGTGGAAGAAGTGAGGCTAATGATGCCAGGAATAAATGCCCAGGAGGGCCTGTGCCAGCCAGTGTCCACAAATGTGCAGAAGAAAGAAAGAACTGGAGAGAAGAGCATAGTAGAGTTGCACACACACCAGGGTGCAAGTTCAGACTCCATCACCTACTAATCATACGATTTCAGTTAACTTGAACCTTCAGTATTCTCATCTGAGCTAAGAATAACACTCAACTCATATTCGCAAATAAATGAGAGAATGCATAGCCCCAGGAGCAGGATCATATGAAATAGATGGAAATTCTTACTTAAAAAAAGATTCTGGATGGTGGTGGCACAGGGGTGATTTGGTGATGGGAAACCTGCGGGGATTACAATTGAGATGGAAAAGAAAATGTGCAAAATGATGTAAAAATAAACTTTTTAATAAAAAAAACTACAAAAAAAAAAGATTCTGGAAACATCAGAAGATGTTAAAAAAAAAAAAAAAGACACTTTGATTTTGTTTTCCTCCTAGATCAGCCTCTGCCTTGTACCGCATGCAGGAGGTAGACTTTCAGTGGGCTGCATCAATGGGCTCCCTTGCCCTTGACTTTGGTTGGGCCCATCCATGGAAGGAGACAGCAGAGAGAGGGATCAGAGGATGAGGTAGGAGTCTTCCATTCCCTGGTTCATTCTACCTTCGTTATCATGGACTGTGAGTCAAAAGACAGTTTGTCAGCCACTTCTCCAGCTGTAGCTCATCTCCCTGGGCTGCAGGATCTGGTCTTTCTCGGGCCTTCTGACACTGTCCTTCCCACAAGATGCTGTTCCTGTTGGTTTCCTTGACCTCGTCACCGGTTGTAAAATAATAATGAACTTGCCTCCGTTACTCCATATGATTAAATTATCTAATTCCTGGTTGAGTCTGTAATTAATACATTGGTTGAGTCTGTAAATCTGGCAAGAAACAGTCTGTTTGAGGTTGGGAGGTCAAAATGTGAAATGGCTGATTCAAATGAGGAGATTGGAAGTTTGAGGAAAAATGTCACAGGTAGATGAAGTATCTGTGGAGTCACAGATACTTGTTACGATCGATGAGGAGTTAGGGCTTGTGGTCTAGGAACGGGTAGCATGAACGTGGTTATTAAAACCCTGAGCAGGAATTGTGTGTGCAAGGAAGGGATGAAGAGGAAAGAGAAGGAAGCCAGTTGGGAGCTGGATCTTGACTATAAGTTGAATTATACCTCAGATGATAGGAGCCAGCATTCTAGCCATAAATGTATATTCTAATTAATTTTCATAACAACTTTGAGCTGGAAAGTCATGCTACACTGGCCATTAAGTAGAGCCAGGATGTCCACATCAAAATCCAGGTGCTTCCTACTCTGTTGTGCTGCTCGAGCTGAGGTTAGTTTTGGTCTGTGTGACCTTCCAGCCTAGCACCATGTAGACCTGGAAGGCTCAGACCAAAGCTGGCATTGCCAGAGCCTCAGTGCCCCCTGACATCGGGAAGAAACTTCCGGAATCAAGACCTCGGAAGGCTGGGACCTCGAATCCTTCCTCTTTGCTCTGTCCTGACACATTCTGTGCTCTCCAGGCCCGGAGCGTGGAGGTCGCCCTCCGCTACTCATCCTCAGTCTGCACTCTGGCTTCCACACACCCACCACTTCTCTGCAGCCTGGCTGGCATGGTCCCTGATAATTTCTTGATCACCATGTCTTGTTTCCTTCCTTACTGGAACATTTGGTGGTGTGACCCATCCTCCCCCCTTCAAATCCTCTTTTTCTTAACTTTTACAGCTTTATCCCTTTCGGTCTCTCTTGACTTTTTGGTTTTCTTTGCCCCTTGGATGTCTTCATTGCTTATTCTGCACATTTAGCTGGACGATGTCATCCACCCTACAGCTTCAAATACAACCAAAGCTATATCTCCATTTTGCCCCCCAAAACTCCCTTGTGGCACAGAGCCACTCCTCTTGTCTACTGTCCCCCTCCAATGGGTCCTGCAGGGATCTCTAAATGTCCCAAATTGGACTTGACACTTTGCTCCTGCCTGCCTGCCACTCCCTTTCTGAACCGGAACCTCTACTTTTATTCCTGACCTTGGTTACCCAAACTGGAAACCTGGAACTCAGCCAACTCTTCTGCTTTACTTACCTCTTTCAACCTACTGGCACGTCCTTAAGCCCTTGGGCCTGTCCTCCTCTCCATCTGCCTAGTCAGGCTCAGGCCCTTATAACTTGTTACATGGATGATGGCTTCCCAGGCAATCTCTGTCTCTGCAGGCTGGCCCCTGGACTCACTGCTTCTCGGCTTGAGATCCCTTACTGTTGTCCCACCACTCATCCTCAGGATGAAATCTGAGTTCCTTAGCACTTCATGACACAGCCTCTGCCTCCCTAGTTTCCTCCCTTCCCTTCTGCATGTACCGAGCACCATCTGGTCCCTCACAGTGCCTTACAGCTCACCACACAGTACGCCCTTTCTTGCTGTGGGTAACTGCACCTGCTGATTGCTTTTCCTAGAACCCCAGGGTCCTTACTCCAGCAAGCTCACTTTCATTCTTCCTACAATGCCCAACTTCGATGTCACTTCCAGGAAGCCTTCCAGAGTGCCTTTCTCTAACTGCCAAGGATGAGCCACTGCTAGGCCCTCAGCGTCATCTATCATGTTTCTCCAGCGACATCTTACTTGTCCTTTATAGGTTCCTTGTTCCTAGGAACTGGAAAAAGACACGGTCACTTCATTTCCAAATCCTGACTGCATAGTGCAGAGTGTGAGGCATAGGGTGTATCTGATAAGTGTTGAATGAATGAATGAGTTGCTTAGTTAATACGAAGAAGGGACGAAATGGTGATCTGATTCAGCTTCTGGTTTCCCTGGTTGTAGCCATGCTGCCTGGTTTGGAAGCACAGCCTTCCCTGGAGCTTGTGGCCTTTAGAGAAGGACAGCTGACCGCCTTCCCGTCACTGACCGGTGGCCTGAATTACATCTTAAACTTTGCACATTAATGGTGTTACCACTCTCCACTTTTTTTTTTTTTAACCCCGTCACCAAGTTCTACTCCCACAACCCAGACACTGATGATCAAGGCTATGAGGGTAGCAACATAAATTGCAATTTGATTAAATGCAGCAACTAGAAAGGATGAGAAAGTTAAAGATGTCGATCTGAGAAGCATAGTTTCCAGATGATGTTAAGAGTTTTCAAAATTTTATAGGTTGAGTTGCCAGATGCTGGCAAGGTTGACCTGCTCTTCTCTTGAGCCTTCTATGACCTGAGATTTATCATGGGGAGACTTAATATCCATTAAGCAATAGATATTAAAAAAAAAAGGGGGGGTGAAATCCATAAAGAGAATTCCAAACTCTTTAAAATCTTATCATCCAAAAATAGTGGCATCTCCAGCAGAACATTTTCTACCAGAACATTTTCTCTGCCACTAACAGAGAGAAACACGGTGCTAAAAGTCATCTGTATTTAACCACATCACATTTCCCAGTAAAGATTTTTAAAATCGGGGGCCTCCCTGTGACTTTAACTCCTGTGAAAGTCTCAGTGCTATCATCAAGCTATCACCAACCACTGTGACATGAATTCTATCTCTGACCCACACGGCGCGGCAGACCTCTCCTATTTCACCCGCTGCTCCCCTCAGCAGTGTATTCCAATAGATCTGCCTGTTCTGCTCCCCACTCTGTCTCTTGTGAACCGTCTTACCCCTCTGTACCTCTGGCTATACCCAACTTCTTGTGTGCATAAATAAAAATAAATCTTTAACAAAAAGACTTTAAAAATGGGATAAAATTACCAGCCTCTTGTCTTGCACACAATAAGGAGATTCCTGTGCTATGCTTTTGGCAAATTCTTGTACCTGCAGTAAAAAAATGCAGTATTTTCATTAATGGCATGCTGTTTCATGCTTGAATCACTTGCTTCTACTGTTGATAAAAAGTTCAGAGTATTACTTTACTCTTCAGTTGATCTGTCTGTCCTTTAAGCAGCTGACACATCTGGTTCCCTCGGGTTAACTTTTGAAAGATGTAAGAAGAACTTGAAAAGTCTTTTTGAGAGGTTGAGGACAACTTAAAGACACTTGTTTCCGCTTCTATTCCTGCGTGAGAAAGAGTAAGTGTTAACCTTGCTCTTCTTGACCTCACTGCAGTTTTATTAACTTCTGTACTCAGGAGACTGGGCTAACCACAGCCATTTGCTACTTTTTTTTAAGTTGCCAAGGTGTAATCCGCATCAAAGAAGTTTATAATCACTTGTACCTGTAACATGTCCTTGATGGATGTGTGTCGTCGGCCCCATCTGCACATTTAGAGGATAAGAAATCATGTCAGTAGGTGGGCAATGTTGTAATTCAGACAGGCTGATGTGTTTTGATCTCCCAGGGATGCCTACGTTGGGCCCTGGTGCCAAGTATGAATTCCCGAGGTAATGACCTTATTACTGCAAACCTCAAATCCCTCAGCAGTGCAGCAGGACTAGTAACAGAACCTAGCTCACAGGGCTGTTCTGAGGACTAAGTGGTAATAATAACCAGAGTGTCTGGCACGCGCCTGGCTTCCGGTCCCTGTTAGCTCTTACTGCTGTCATGTTTGATACTGCTGTGTAGGCCAGTCAAATGATTTCTTCCAAAGCAAGAACTGTCAGCCCCATGAGGGTTGGCCTTGATGTCATCGCTGCTGCTGGTGCACCACAGTACATGGCGGCCACACTGTAGAGAGTCAAATTGTGTGTGCTAATTTCCAAAATGTGTCACATAATTGCCAACATAACAAGATTATTTGTTATATATTCTATATATTTGGTGCACCGTATTAACGATCTTCATTCAAGGTAGCATTAGTTGCTCAGGATATAATATGTGTAAGACACAAGACAGAGGCCAGGCCCCTGGAGGCAGTCAGTCAGTGGGGTGAGGGAGATAAGCTTGCTGTGCTCACACTCTTCAGATATAGTGGGATAAGCAATAGTCCCAAATTATTCCGATCCAAAGCAGGCTGAGATAATTGTTGACAAAAGTATAAGCAAACAAGGAGGGGGAAGATCGTGATTCTGGAACTTTCCTTGGAGGAATCAAAGGAGGCCATGAACGTGTGCTGGTATCTGGGAAGCAGAGAAGGATGTTCCCTGTAAGGTAAGGCAGTCAGAGAGCTCAGGGCCTGAGGAGTGGGGGCCAGCCAGGTAACTGAGGCTGACTTCCTGGAGGAGAAAGCTGAGTCTAGAGAGGCAGAAGAAAAAAAGGAAAACTAGACAAAGGTGTGGGGAATTCAAATTCCAGGTTGAAGAATTTGGATTTCATTCCCTTCTGTGGTGGTATTAGTGCAGCCACAAGATTCTTCTCACGCTCTGGACAGATCAAGGTACTCGGCCAGAACTGGAACCAGAACTGCAGGACAAGAACCCAGCTCCAGGCACCTCCCCAGGCCCACACTGACTCATGGGCGCTGCCCTGACTTTTACTTACCTGAGTCTGCTGTACCAGTTCAGTAGTTTTCCTTTTCTGCTCTTGTTTTTCAACAAAATTTGACCTGGACAGACCTTCTAGCATATCTTGTACAATAGCTGACTTATCTCTCAGTTTAGGAGAAGAGCTGGTTTGTTTATCTAGTGTAAGTGGTCTATCAATTATCTTATTTTTAGGGACGCTCACTCTGGGAGCAGCCTTGGAGAAACCAGAGAACTGGCAGTGAACTTGGTCTTGGCCACATTTGAAATTTGCTTTCTCAGTATACCGTTTCTGGAGTGCCTGTTCTTGGCCCCGCTTTTGTTTGTCACTTAAACTCTTGATTTTAGCTAGAAAATGTGGATTTTCTTGATGACTGCTCTCACCGATCTCCATGGGCCCTTCTAACTTACAAGTATTTTTTTCCGTCGCAGTTGGATACCCGCAAGGTTTATCAGTGCTTTCTTTATCCTTTTCGGGACTTAGCTGGTCAGTGAGCTCTCGAGTTTGTCCTTTGGGCCAGTCATTCCCGACATGTTGCAAAATAATGTTTTTAGTGGTAGTATCATCAAAACTGTCAGCGTTAGACATCTCCGGGAGGGTTTCACCATTAATGCCATTGCCCTTCAAGAATTCCTCTTTGGAAAGATGATGGAGTAAAACATCGGAAATGTTTGACTTTGAAGAACCTCCTTTGTTTCTTGGGGTGTGGAGATTTGTGGTGTGCTGTTTCTCTCTATCAGGTTTTTGGTCTATACCATTTTCAGTCCTTTTATCCACAGTCCTGATCATGCCAGCATTGCTGCAAATCTCTTTGGGCACAGCTTTTTCTTGATAGTCCTCTGCTGTTAAAATCATTTGATTTGAAATACCAAGACCATCATTCTTTGAGATTAAACTGTAATTGCTGTATCTCTTCCTTTGGGAGAAGTCCCCATCGTAAGGCAGATTCTCCTGCTGCTTAAAAGTTGTGTAGTCTGAGAAGTCTGTTTCGGCCATGTGGGCACAGCCTACCCACCTTTGCTGCCCTCTCTTGATGTTCTTTACTTGAGCAATTGCCCTTCTGGTTCTCAGTGACTGTCTATATGGTGTGTTCTATTCCAGGAAAAATGAAAAGAGCCACATGTTAAGTATATGGAGAAATATGTGAAGCCTGCTTAACCAGTGTGTGTGCCAGAACAAAATGGATGTTCTTCTTTTAGAGAAGTTCAGTTATAAACATGAAGGCAGAAAGCTCAGCTGAGAGCTGACCCATCAGTAAACCCTGTGTTAACATAAGCCATGGTATATGAACGAGGAATATGCATAGATATAAAAACACAGAGAGGGAAAGGATTTAAATTTTCATTCATTATATTTTGAAGGAGACATTAGCCTTTAGTTAATAGCCAGCTATATATTAACATCTCAGATAATTTGGGGGAAAGTTGGCGTTCTCCCAAAATAGGAGCTTAGAATACAATAAAGCATGGATTTTTAAAAAAAGATTTATTTATATGTACAAGAGCTGGGGTGTAGACCAGAGATGAGGGGGGTGAGCGGATTCACCCCACAGAGTGGGGAGCAGAACAGGCAGATTGATGAAGTACACTGCTGAGGGGAGCGGTCTCTGTACCATGTGGGTGGGCTCCCTGGCCTGCTAGAACTCATGCTGCAGTGGCTGCTGAGACTTAACCCCTTACACTACACGGCCCTAATTTCTTTCCCCTTTTTTTTTTTAGTACATGATTCTCACTTATGCACATGCCTCTGACTGGCCTCTGGGTTAGTTGTGGGGCACTGAACAGTTGCCCAGCTCAAGTACCATCGCCTTTTCGTCTGTCCCTGGAGTAATACATAAAGCCTGCTCATCCTGGGCCCTTTTCCCCATTTTCTTGTCTGGAGAAAGGCAGACAAGGATCAGCAGAGGTAGAACCCAGGGACAGAGTCTGCTAAACACCTGGAGGCAGCCTGCTGCCAGGCTTCCCTCTGGTGACCAGAGGCTGGCAGTGGCTTTCCCCTTTCTGAGTAGCCTGACAAAGGTGCCTGGGGGAGCAGGGTGTCCTGAGGACACTCTTGGAAACAGACCCAACTCAGCCACTTGCTCTTTTTTTTTTTTTAATAATAATTTATTTTTACATCATTTTGTACATTTTCTTTTTTCATCTCAATTGCAATCCCCTTGGGCTTCCCATCACCAAGTCACCCACGTGCCATCACCCTAGTCCAGTGCTCACTTCCCCTCTCCCCACTGTTTTTGATCCCCTTCCCTGCTCCACCCCCACAAAATGTCTCTGGTATAGAGCTGTTCGTTATTATTACTATTTTCTCCCCTGGTCCATTATACTCCTGCTATGAGCGAAACCATCTGGTATTTTTCTTTTTCTTTCTGGCTAATTTCACTAAGCATGATCTTTTCCAGCTCCATCCAAGTTGCTGCAAAAGACATGTGTTTATTTTTTTTGGTTGCTGAGTAATATTCCATTGTGTACATGTACCACATCTTTTTTATTTTATGTTTAGATCTTATGTAATACTTCTATGTACATTGTATATATATAAAATTTCCCAAAGAAATTAAATATGTGTGACACAAATTCTTATACAAATAATTATTACAAATCACTTGGTGGGGATGGTGTTTTGTAGCTGTGTCTTGCTATATATGTAAGTAGTTGTACCACATCTTTTTAATCCAGTCATCCATTTTTGGGCATTTGGGCTGCTTCCATGTCTTTCTAATTGTGAATAAAGCAGCAATAAACATGGGGGTGCAGGTGTCTTTTTGAATCAGTGTTTTAGTGTGCTTTGAGTAGATACCCTAGGAGTGGGATTGCTGGGTCGTATGGAAGCTCCATGTTAAACAGTTTGAGGAACCTCCAGTTTTCCATAGTGGTTGTACTAGTTTGTATTCCCACCAGCAGTGCAGGAGAGTTCCTTTTTTTTCTACATCCTCCCCAACATTTGTTATTGCTAGCTGTTTGAAGACATGCCATTCTCACAGGGGTGAGGTGGTATCTCATTGTAGTTTTAATTTGCATCTCCCTTATTATACAGCCACTTGCTCTTTTAAAAAAATTAAGAACTCCCATTTAAATTGCTTGACCTCTGGGCTTTCCAGACTTCTACGAGTAGTAAAATTACCCCCAGTTTTAGCGACAGTAACTCAAAGTCTCCTTCCCCTGGGTGACCCCGGGCCTCCCTACCCACACACTGATGGGGCTGGGCCAGCCTCTCTCAGGTCCTCTTCCCATCTCAATTTTTATGAATTTGTGAACTTGTGATATTTGGATAAAATATTAGTATAGGTCCTCCCTGGTAGCACAGGGGTTAAGTTTCAGCACTAGGAAGCTATCACCAGCCACTGTGGCCTGGGCCTGAGTTTGTCCAGATCAGGTAGCTGACCCACATGGCTGGCATAGCAGACCTCTCTTGACCCATCCACTGCTCCCCTCAGCAGTGTATTTCAGTGGATCTGACTGTTCTGTGCCCCACTCTGTCTCTGGTGAATCCTCTCACCCCTCGCACTGCTGGCCTGTAACCCAGTTCTTCTACACCAAAAATAAATAAAAATTAAAACAAAGATAAATTAGAAGCTTAGGAACTCTCCCATTGCATCCAGGAAAACAGGTTATTGTTATTTTTTGTGTGCATGCAAAACACCAAAAGGACTTTTTTCCTCTTCAAGGACACCCTCCAACCTTAGCATTATAATAGAGTCCTTACAGTTAGCCAGAAGGAAATGGAACATCTTCCCAGGCTGATGCCCAGCTCAGTCTTGGTATCCAAATGCTCTTCCAAAGAGAATCTGCTTAGAACTCAACAGAATCTTCCTACACAATCCAGTCCAAGTTGCTGAGTCCAAGCGAACACATTAGGGGCCTGACTGCTGATGTGGCTGCACAGACCATTGTGTGCTCAGCATGGCTCACACACATCACCTGAGTGTCAGCCTCGATCAGAAGAGGCCCTGGGCCTGTAAGAGCTGAGTCTGGGCCCCCGTGGGGATGAGCAGTCAGGCTGCGGACTTCAGCACCCCAATTTGCCTAGATGAACAGAAGATGATAACCAGGGTTGGGATGACTGAACATCTGATAGACTAAATTAAGAATGTCTATAGCAGGAAAAGCCAAAGCTCCTAGGTGATTCGAGGTCAAAGATGTGAGAGAATCAGCACCTCTGGCTGGCAGGGGATGTTTTGTCTATGCGCGGATAGCAGTTAGTGGTAACACAAATGTCACGTTGTGTATAGGATGAGTGTTTTCATCATCCAAGAAAAACAGTGGGGCCATGTGCAGTGACAGTCTCATCGCCAGTGTCCTCTGTTCTGTGTTTGGACCGCTGCAGACAGTGTATGACCAAGAGGCAGAGGAGAACACAGGCATTTTTCTCTCCACCCCTCTCTGCTCTCCTCCATTAATATACCAGTGTGTGCAGACACAGCATTCTCGGATCCTAAACCCCACCTTGTAAGACAAACCCTACTGGCTATAATGAAAGTGAGTGTTGACTGACTGTGCGGGGCAGCGATTCAACCATTCAGATTCTTCTTTATATATATATGAAGGAGTGTGTGTGTGTGTGTGTATACACACATATGCATATATATAAATATAAATGTAAATAGGTTACAGATGGAAATAAGTACATGACTCAGCAGCATTCTGTACTGGATGAAAGACCATCTGCCCTAAGTTTTCAGTGAATACCTGCCACAGTCAACACAAAAAGATAAAACAGGAGCAACAAAAACTCACCTTGGGGTCATGGAGTGAACCAGCAGAAGGATCTTGCAATGCAATACCGATGGGCAATTCTTACATTCTAAATCTCCTTTCTTTCAGTAGAAGGAAGCTAGCTGCAATTAAATAGTAGAACAAAAACTGAGTGACAAAATCGTGGCGTACTTCTGGGTTTCTCCAACTGCAAGAAATCAGCTTTGAAGAAGCATGCAGAACTTCTGCTGTGAACTGCTCTGTCTGTCTCCCTCACCTTTTAAGAGCATTCAAAAATACTTACCTTGACCCCTTTAATTATCAAATTCCCCCCTCTATACAAGGCTCAGAATTTCTTTTTATGCCAGGAAGCAAATAGGTGATGCCTCAGATACTGTGTTCTAAGCCATGCCCAGCCAGAGGTCAGGTGTTCATGGGTTTTGTATCCAGTGGAAGATGTTTCTAGATTAAAATATTTTCAAAGGGAATGCGATATAGGCCCTTTCTGTGATGACTGCATTTGATCACGCATTGGTAATCCTATCAGCTAACTTTATCTTAGAAATGAAGGGAGCCCACAGTGCAGCCTCTACAGCTGTAACTGTGCACCACTCAGCCCGACTCCGGCCTGTCATCACTGAGTGGCAGAAGGGAGATGCTGCCTGGAGCAACAAGTGAATCCAATTCCCCCTGGAGGGCCAGATGGATGTATTGGTTTCCATCGGGCTTAGCGAGAAAGCCTTTCATGAGCTTGCTTGACGTAGATGACCAGCTGTTACAAGTCATTCTGAAACTATTTTAAAAGTCAGAACAAAAAATGTTTTGAAACTGTCAGCAAGCCAGTATTTGGAGAAATTTGTTCTCAGTAAGTCAGCAGCTCTCCCTTGTTTTTCTTGCCCATTGGGCATGAAAACTCTTTTTATCCAATTTTCTTCTTGCCATAGCTGTGACATTACAGGCATTGTCTAAGTTGGCCTGTAAAACACAGGACTTGGCTATATTTCGGGAACAATTGATTTTATAAATCTAATGATAAAATTTAAAACCTACTGACTTAAAAATGTATACCTTTTAAAAACCTTGTTGTTTCCTTAAACTTTCTTGCTTAAGTTTGGCAACCTCAGTCTGGAGACAGAGACCAGAATATTTTAGGAAATCTTGTTATCTTTTATCTAAAAACAGTCTTCTCTCCCTGCCCTCCAGTTCTGCCTAAGGGAAAAACAATGACTTGAGATTATAGACCTTTTAAAAAATATGAATAAAATGTCAAACATTATGCATTGATATGCCTATGCTCCTCAAAAT